AATAAAAAAAATTATTAACAATTTTAAGAAAAGGAGAAATAAAAAATAACAAAGGGTGCATGGCGCTCACCATGCACCGGTTCCACGGTATAACAACTGTATAATTTATGTTTATAATTGCTTTCTTAAAAGTGTGAAGGTAGGTGGAAGATTCATGTGCTTCTATAACAGGGGTGGAGACAGGGAGGGGCTGGAGGGGGCCTCGGCAAGAAAAAAATTCTTAAGTATATATTATGTATAAATACTTTTAATCTATAGAAAATATGTTGATATTTTAAACTCTGACCCCTGCAATGTAAAATTTTTAAGAATCGGCCCCCTTAATCGTAGATTTCTGGCTCCACCAGACCACCACTGTTCTATAGTATGGAGTATGTGAGTTTATATCTATTTTAAATGGGGGAGTACTACGAAAAAACGAAACTACTAGGTTGGATTTCTAATTTAAAATTTATAATACGAATAGTTTTTATATACTCCCTCCCTAACTTTAAAACCTTCCCATTTCAAAAGTAGGTAGATTAAGAATAGTGAAAAAGAATATGAATTATTGAGGGTATGATGGGAAGATAGTGGAATAATGTGATGGAATGTACGATAAATCCAAAAAAAGTAGTTGTAATAGTGTATTATTTTCAGAATTATTGAGGGTATGATGGAAAGATTTAGAAATGAGAAGATTTTTTTGTTACGGACGAAAACGGAAAGTGGGAAGATTTTTTTGTTAAGGAGGGAGTATTATATCCTCTAAAATACTACTGAGTCATGTTGTACTACATATTACATAGCACTTTTTAGGCTAAAGGGTCAAATAGGCCATTGAACTAACTTAAAGTGTTCAATTAACCCCTTATATAGGAGGTTCAGCCCGACCATCGCCAATTGGGGAGGTTCCCGGTGGAATTTTTTTATGAAACTTTTTTAGCATCTTGTTCATTAAGTCTAATTTACCCATACCAAATTTCAACTAAAAATTAAACCGGGAAGGCAATCAAATGATTTTTTGAAGATAACAGCGCAGTTAAACAGCGCAGTACATTTCGGAAAATCATTTGACTGCCTTCCCAATTTAATTTTTAGCTGAAATTTGATATGAGTAAACTAGACTTAATGAAGAAGATGCTCAAAAAGTTTTATCAAAAAATTCCACCGGAAACCTCCCCAATTGGCGATGGCCGGGCTGAACCTCCTATATAAGGGGCTAATTGAACATTTTAAGTTAGTTCAAGGGCCTATTTGATCCTTTAGCCTACTTTTTATTTTATTAATATGTAACATACATATTGTCTAATGGGCATTTATGCTCCCGATAACAATATTTTTTAGATCCACCCCTATAGTTGAGACTTGAGAGGAGCTTTCCAAAGTTAGATTTATTGAAGACCTGCATTAGATCTTCAATATCTCAAGAAAGTTTGGATGACTTGATGATTTTCTGTATTGAGAAAGAGATATTGGATAATACTGACCATGACATTATCATGATTTTGCATCTAGCAGAGCTCAAAGGAATTGTTTTTCTATAATTTTTTGTATGAAAGTACTTGCTATGTGTATTGAACTTTTCTTTTAAAATAAAATTTGTTTTTCAGCTTTATAATTTCAAGGACCCTTGTTGATCTTGAGTCTCCAAAATGTAAGGATGTGACCTGATTTAGGGCATTTATATTAATCATTCCTTCATAAAGGAAAAAACTGACAGACACCTTAATACACTAGATTATTCCATTCTTCCAAACAAATGATCAAAACTAAATTCTGTCAAAAGTGAAAGCCGAAAGTTGAAGAGGTTAAAAAAATCAAGTAATGGAATCACACTAGACAACCTCGAATTTTCTGAACAAAGTTTGTTAGCATTCAGATATATCTTCAAAAAAAATTGTTAGCTTTTAGTTTTTTAGTTTTGACAAGTTTTTTTGTGTGAATATGATTATATCCAATTTTACACATTTTTTGTACCACCTTGACCCGCAGGATCCAAGGTAGTTACTCTACAACGCCATCCAGATCTCTAGTACTGTCCTCACTCATGCGCGCCCGAAGAAACTTTTCATGGGGTCACCCATCCCAAGACTACTCTCTTGCAAGCGCGCTTAACTTGGAGTTCTTGACTGGTGAGCTCCCTTAATAAGATGGATCTTGTTGGTATAGGTAGTACTTATTAATCCCTTTACATTAATCTCAACTGTTACATTTTTAATGACATACTAACAATTTTAATCTCAATTTTGTCAATAAGTTGAATTTTACTGATATTTTAAAACAACTTTGCTAGGTGTACACTCAGAGTACACCTTGGAGCTATGTTGCATAGATGCGGATACGTCGACGGCGAATACGCGTACGGCGATTCGACAATTTAAAAAATTATAGGATACATGTATGAGGGTATATTTATATAAAAAAATATAGGATATAATTTGCAAGTATTTATGATTCAGAGGTTCAACGATCACCCTCTTAGTTTTTTCTTTCTTCTTTCATCTTTCATCTTCTTAATTTCTCTTTCTTACTGTCTTTTTCTTTCTTTTTACCTTCTATTCATTCATCATCTTCACCGTCATCTTCTATCATCATTTTCACCTTTATTTTTGTTTATGCATTGAAAAAAAATGATATTTTAGAGTCGACGAAAAGCCATCGGAAAATTAAAGATGAATGAAAGGAAATTTTTGTTTGTGTGGTATATAAATATTGTTTGTGTCATGTTGAATAATGATATAATTTGTCTGTAGGAAAAATCATAACTGAGAAACTAGTAACATTTTGTAAACTTTCACCATAGACAATGATTTTATTTCATTGTGTGTAGTCATGTAGACACTAACAAAAATATTGCATAGAAGTTAAGGTTAGGTTGCACGGAAGCCAATGTCTATGTATACCAACAACAATGTATAAGTTACACACTTTTGTCAGTATACAGACAACTAATGTTCGTCCGTATACACACATATTGGTTTCCGAGCAACCTAAGCCTCATTTGTTTTGCAAAAAACGCAAATTAATATGACTTACAAACCAATGTCAGTTCTTTTTTGCAAACCGATGTCTGTATATAGACAGTAGTTGTCTGTATACAGACAAAAAATGTTTGTTCACATACTTTTTGTGCGCAACCATGTTAACACACACTTACGATTTTTTCATTTTAATTTGTTCACATAGACAAATTTTATCAAAAGTCAGGATGATACAAACAAAGTTTTATTAAGGCATAAATAGTAATTCCGATAACATCTCTGGTGACTCCAATTTCGGTTGTTTTTCCAAATGACACGAACTTCGGTGATGAAGAAGTAGATAAGGTGAAAATGTGAAATATGACACAAATTTATATGGTGTAGATGGAAGGTGATGAAGATGAAAAATGATGGAGGAACATGAGTATTATAAGATGGAAATGAGAGGTGATATATAGGTATAGAGAATGGTGAAGATGAGATGTGATAAATATAAAAGATGGAAGAAACTGGGATTAGGATCGAAACTGCCCGGTTCACTCCTAAGAGTAGGAACCCATGCTGGGCACCTGAAAATTCCGGATAGGGCCAGTCTATTGCCTAGAACTGTAAAAAACGAACTGAGTCCGGTCAACAGAGTACCAAACCCAGTCTATACCTACTCTACACTAATCACATCTTCAACTTAATTTTATTTATTTTCCCCATTTCCCTCATTCTTCATTATTTATGGAACCCTCCAATATCTCCCTTGCAATCTAACTCACTGTGCTTTTAATAAGAACGTCTCAAACGACAGAGCTTTTACCACTTTCGATCCTCAGACTATAGTGTTAGTGAAACTTTTGGAACTCAACTTTTAGTTTTTTACATTTTTAGTCCTTGATTATTTTTCAAATTGACACTTTTAGACATTTCACTATTATTTTGACACAACAAGTGGATGAATAAAAATGTCACTATTATAATAGTTGAAAACAAAAAAGTGTCACTTTTATGAAAGTCAAATGATTAAATATGAAAAAATTTCAAAGACGAGTACCAAAAGCATCCCTAGCACAATAGTTGAGGATTAAAAATGGAAAAAATCAAAATCGAGTATCAAAGATGTCAATGACATAATAGTATAAGAACTAAAAGTGGCAAAAACATGTTATACACACGATGTCTGCATTATATTTTGTGCTTGAAAAATAAGAAAAGCAGCAGTTATGGTACACTACACAAACATTTCCTTACAAAGCACTCAACACTCATTGACACCAACAATGAATACACGGTGTGTTCATTTTTTAATTATTCAAATGTTATACGCCATTTCATATTGAATAAGACTTTATGCATGCCATTGTAGTATTGCATTAATTCAATGTTTTGATATTTGTAATAGTATTGTACTAATTCTTACAATACCGTTATACAATAGTAGTCAGTCCATACAATTTTCGGGATGATTTTCATCATAGTACATCCGGAAACAATCCATTTATACTTTAATACAAGGTTAATACGACTTCACACATTCAACCCTCTTACCCCACCGTTAGTTGGAGCCTTTGCAACACTGAGATAATGTTGTATTTCCAACGACTATATAATTTGTACTAGTTCTTACGTTTTGCATTCAAAATTCAAATAATATAGCCATGGGAGTGTTTAGTGGAACCTTTGTTGGTTAAATTTAATTTATCATACTCTCATAAATAGATCATTTCATAAATAATGCATATGGTTTTTCTACACTCAAACTTGAAATTTAGAAAAAAAAAAGACCAGGGACCAACCAGTCGACTAGAATCAGGAACGCTGAGTACTGGTCTCGCCAGCCGCGCCCCTCCAAGGCTCCAAGACCGTCTGGTCTGGGATCGAAACCGGACCGGGTTCATGCTTGATTACAATGCCTTCTGGCTCAAAAAAGAACTATGTTTTTACACGCAAAATATGTGCTAATAATCTCAAAGGATTACTACACCATTTACAAAATACTGTTGCAGTGTTGCTTGATGACGATTAAGGATGTATGAGAAATTAAAAACATTGCAAGGGTAGAGAGTGCCAAGAATTAAATGATGGGAAATCCCACATAAGATAATATAGTTCACAAGAAAAGAATGCAGATTCTGCTGGCGTTTGAACACACGCACATCCAATGATACGAAAGGAACCTACCAAGCATGAATTTCTTGTTCTTGCCTGGTGATCAAAATAAATGGAATGCAGTTGTCTAATCCAAAAATAAATCAAGAGAGTATGATTAGTCATACTAAGATTGACTATTATGAGTCGTCTCTGGCAATGAAAAAAACATGTTTTGTGTGGGAAATGGCTGAAAGATTGACCACCCTCATGTATGCTTCTTAGCACGACTGCCTGAAGGTCGAGCATCACCCTTCTTAGAACAGGTGGACCCCATAAGATCCTTTGCCCAGGCAGGACAGTTTTCAGGGTCATATCGGTAATCATAAAGCAGTTCATCTCCAGAATTTATTGGTGTCAAAGCATATATGCCAATCCTGTGATCTCCTCCTACCATGATCACCTACCAAAATGTGACCCACTGGGAGCATTATTATTTGAAAGAACTAAAATAATAAGGAAGCAGCCACAGAAGGGGAGTACTTAAACATTACACATTCAGTTTACCTTTGCAACACAGTTTGGTTGAAGTGAATGATTGGCAAACTTCAATTTGTTTCCCTTTCTGTAAGCATCAACAACAAGCTGTATGCAAAACATATAAGCAATTGAACCAAAAGAAATGGGGGCAAATATACACACACATATACATATACATAATTACATACATACACAAAGAGAAAATATCTCATCAGGCCATCTTTGTTTTGGCCAAAAACCAATAGATTTAGTTCAAACATTTTACCATGTCATTGAATGTAAAAAAATGAGTTTCTAACATTCATCTTCAAACAATTTGAAAATCTAACCGCTGAAATTAATACTTGATACGAATGAGCAGAAAGATCTAAAACCTTGAAGTGACCTAATGGCCAAAATAAAAGCTGGTCTCACCGCATTGTCACCAGGGTCTTACTTAAATTGTAGCATACACACAAGTACACACACACACACATATAGAGAGAGAGATTGACACACAGATGCACTTTTAATGTACATGTATATGGTTGCTTTTCTAATCATCATTTTCATTTTCATTTACCCCAATGCCACAAAGGCTCCCACCTACGGTGGGGTAAGGGGGGTCAGATGTACGCAATCTTACCCCTGTACTAAAACACAGAGAGACTGTTTCCGGATGACCCATAGTGAAAATCGCGTCCAAAATTGCATGGACTGACTGTTGCTTCATAACAAAGAAGCGCAGACAGTTTAGTGAGCCATTTTGCTTTATTCCATCATATTCTCAAGCCAAAAAATAATAAATCTTTGGCTCCATTGCAAATGATGGAAATGTGTGCCTGCATATATGCATGTGAGTATGCACAAACACACACACAAACACGAATACACACATATTGTGTTTTTAAAGTTGCAAGTATTTACAAAGTTTTCAAAGTTACTGAAGTCCTTTACTCATTTATTGTCTTAACTTGGATGTTCCATTCTAATTCTCATTGTTTACAAATATGACCACATCTATCCAAGTGATCTTCTGCATGTGAATGTTAGACGTCAGCAGGTGAAAATAATGTCTTACCATATCATTGAGATTGAAGAGGAATGAATAATTTTCACGATCATAGACTTTGCCACGCTTATCAGCTTCAAAGTGCGAGATTACTTCACCAGTGTACTCCCCGAGGAAATCATTCTTTTTTACACTATCCTGAATGCATCAAAATACAAATTTAAGCTTTCTTTACAGGTAAACTCAATTTGAAAAGCAGGAGATTACTGTATTACCTTTAAGAAAGCTCCCCATCCAACTATACTAGATTTTCCAAGAAGAACCTGAATATAAAACAAAAAGGGTAGGGAAACTACACTAGGGAACATACTTTGAGTTCCGGAATATATACAAGTTGAAAAAAAACTGAAAAAGGACTTGCAAGAAATGTTATAAAAAATGACTAGGTAAGTGCATTCGTAAAGGATGAGTTAATGACCACTGAACCACATCCACCGTCAGCTACCATCCCACTACCAGATGTAAAATAATAATAAAAAACACATCTGCTGTGTGGGATGTGAGTATCCATGTGAATACAATAACAACAACATTACCCCTGTGCCGCAAAGGCTCCCACCTACGGTGGGGTAGGGGGGTCAAATGTACGCAGTCTTACCATATACTAAAACACATAGAGACTGTTTTCGGATGACCCATGATGAAAATCGCGTAAAAAATGACATGGACTGACTACTGCTTCATAACAAGGAAGCACAAACACTTTAGTATGCCATTTTGCTTTAATGAGTGAAAGCGTGAAAACTCAATCATATCTGTTCAAAAAGACAGTTGCAAGAATCGGGGGATGCACAATATAATTTAAATTAATTTAATATAAATAAGTACAAACATTTCCAATGGAGCCGAAGAATCACTATTTTTGGCTTGGGAATATGATAGAATAACGCAAAATGGCTCTGCGCTTCTTTATTATGAAGCGACCGTCAGGCCATGTAATTTTCAACACGATTTTCATCATGGGTCACTCGGAATAATCCGAAACAGTCTCTCTAAGCTTTAGTACAGGGGTAAGGTTGCGTACATTTGACCCCCCTTACCCCACTATTGGCGGGAGCCTTTGTGGCACTAGGGTAATGTTGTTGTTTGTTTGTTAAAACTTAAAGTAAGGGGGTGTTTGGAACTGATTCTGCCTCTGCTTCTTTTTTAAAGCAAAAACAAAATCAGAATCAGTTTTCAGAAGCTGACCCCCCAGCTTCTAAAAAAACAGCTTCTAGGAGTAAATTAGAGCACCAAAAGTACTTCTACACTTTCACCCAAACACTCCAACTTCTGCTCCCTTAGGGAGCAAAAGCAGTTTTAAGAATCAAATCCAAACACCCCCTAATACATACTTCGTATAGAATAAATAGATGATATAATTACTCAAGGAGGGATTTGACTTTGCACCCCATCATTAGGGTGATATTTGACTTTGCACCATATTTTCAAAATCATTAATGTATGCATCCAGATTCACTATAAAATCATTTGACTTTGCACCCCACTTCTTCACAATTTTTGGACTGATGGGGTGCACACATTAATGATTTTGAAAATGGGTGCAAAGTCCAATATCACCCAAAACATGGGATGCGAAGTCAAATTCTCTCAATATTCAAATATGATCACTAAGCAATTTCAGAACGCGGCAAGCAACAATTACCTTTTGATGTTGTCTCAGAAGTAATTTCATATTCATGCATTTGTGATTTGAGACTCTTGGCGGATGAACCCCAATAGAACCATCACCACAACTACAAAGCAATTAAACCAGAATAAATAGTTTGAAGCTGCAATCTGAAGAGAATTCCAATGCCAGAGTTCATACCATTTGGGATACATTGCTTTATGCATAGATGAAATGAGTACTTAAGGATCAGGGATGTGACGTACACAGAGGGATGGCTCTCTTAAGTCTTAACATTTAGAGATCCTTTAGTAAATACTATTGTGATTTAAAAAGATGAGTAATCAATTATCAAACACCACTAGAGGTCCTTGGTGGCATTCTATTTTCAAATAAAGTCATGTATAATGTAGGCATTTAGTTGTTTTCAGTTACAATATCAATCTTGTAATAGGACATGAGCATATCATCTCTGTTATATCATCATTACCTCATTATGTATGCAGGTGGAAAACTTATGAACATGAAAACAGTTTTGGAGTTTCATCTCATAATTCCTTGCTAAGTGTGCAATTGGAAATGCATTTGGCATAAAAAATTGTGACTACTTTTAGAAAATTAATTTACCCTACACATTTCATACCACTGGCCTCAACATGATAGAGAACACAGGTGTTGATGGTGGGCATTCATCTGTTTTGTGGTAATCAGAAAGAATATTAAATTTGTTGGAAGTATTCTAAATTTATATGTGCACGCTGAGCACAAAGATAAAATGAATCTTGAAACTACATATTGAAAGTACATGTTAAATAACCCACTTTGTACACGGCCGGAGAACATTGTTTTCATAATAGCTACTTTCACATCCAAATGAACGCATAACAACAAATATCACCATGAGTGCTCACCCAACCCAGCAATTATGGCAAATATCAGGATCGCATTCTCTTAGAGCTGCATAGCATGGACAATCATCAGCTGTGCACTGACTTTTTGAACAGTGACACCCTCGGAATCGTAGCAGGCAATTCTTTGAGCATCTAGGCAATAGAAAAAAAAACACTTCAGAACATCAGTTTATTCTGTCACTAAAGAGGGTTGGATGCACTTCCAAAGGAGCACAAATAGAAAAGATAGAAATATAAGGAAAAAAGGAAAAACAGAAGACATAATGCGCACATGCTTTTTTGTCATTACATGCACAGTGCATTGCTAATTGCTTCTGTTATGATTTTAAGGGTCCATTTGGAACCCCGATTTTGTTAAATACTTAAATATCTGTAAATTTCGTACAAAATCTAATCATATTTGAGTTTCCTTCATGTTTTCCAAGGTAAAGCCGAAGTGCCAAACATTAAATAAGTAAATCTTTATCATTGTTTTCCTTGCCCTGCCATTCTCCCTGTTCCAAAATATAGACTGAAGGGTTAATTCTACTCATTCAAATGAGTAATGAGGCCCAAAAAATAGTTAGTTACCCGCAGAATTTTTCGCAGCTGCCTGATTTTACACTGCAAGGACAATTCTTTCCACAGTGAGATTGACAATTGCAAGGAGTATAGTGCTTTTCAAGTTCCTCCTTCTTCTCAGATATACGCTTCCTTATCGAATGATGTCCACCTGATCTACATGTATGTTTTAAGCGACGAACTCTACCTCTTCGGCATGCATATCTTGGTTTTTTCTGTTCCTCATTTCCCTATAACAGTTTCAATCGAACTTAACATGACGGCATGTGGAAACCACACTGAGTTGGATGAATGGAGTGTACAGTAAGTGAAAATACCGACCACGACTTCAATACCAATGTTTGATTGACTGGGTGTCTTATTATCAGGCAGGTTCATATACTGAAAAACCTCTAAGCATGACCTCAGACCATTCATGAGATTACGAGCAATCAAACAGCTGTTCGAAAATAAGATAGCTCTGGCTAGAGGATTAACAAAAAAATATTGAAGTATGCATTGAAACTAAACTACGATCCTAAATTAGTAACTTCACTAACCTGCTTCTACCAAAGATCTCTAGACCCTTTTCAAAGAGAGCCTTTTCAAGCGGCCTCCAAACATTATTGCTGCATCCTTCTATCTTCGAAGTATGTTCATCTAAAAATGCATCTTCTTTTGCAGTTTCATAATCACTAGTCATGGGTTGATAATTTACAGGTTCATTCAGATTTATTCCAGCAGCAGCTTCCAGCAAAGAATTAATGGACTTAGGAACTGAAGATTCTTTCTTGCTAGATAAAATGGCATCATCGATTTGTGTATGTGAAGGTAGACACAAACCCTTCGAGCTTGAATTTCTAAGAGAGTAAGATCTAGAAGATATCATTTTCTTTGGTCTCTTCTCTCCGGCAACATGAGCTTGTGTAAGCATCCACTTGCTGCTCTGGCTGTCACCTCTGTTTTTACATGATTCCTTTTTTACGTTCACATTCCATGGGACTTCCGTGCTAGATTCTTCGGGTGACAGAATACAGTCTTCTTCATGAATAACTATTTCGTGAGATGCCAAATTGGGTTTGCTTTTTTGATTGATGACCTAAAGTTAATCAGAATACGCATAGCAAGATATGATAATTAGCCATGTAGAGGTAGTTTTTTTTTTACTCCAGGGGGGTCTGGGGGAGGGGGGCTGGGGGGAGTCTGGAGTAATAGGGCTGAAACTCACTCCATTGAGTTTCAAACCCTTATGTGCCTAGCGGGTTTCGAACTCGAGACCTTTCGCTAAGCACGGTAACCTCACAACCAGTTGGGCTGGAATGCTTGGTTAGAGGTAGTTATTATAGATGTCAAGCCAAAAGTCACCCTAAAAAACAATGGTAGCAAGAACAGAATATTACTGCAAGATAACAATCAAGGCCACAAGGTCCCTCATTTGCATCAGCACATAACCAAGGGGGTTGTTTTTCAGCCTGTTAAAATTAGTTTAAAAAAAAGAAGAAAATCACTATCTTACAGCTTTAATGGCTTTGAGATTTTTTTCAATAAAAAGATCTCTCCATTAACCAAATTAGCTTGCCATTTTCTTTTCACAGACTTATTATGAAAACAAATATGTATAAAGGAAATGGGAAGAGAACTTGGAGATGGAGGAAACAAGAAAGGATGCAAATTTACAGAGACTTACCGGAAAAATAATATCCTGTGAGCACCCATGTAATTGACAATCAAATACCTACAGCCGATGGGAGGAAATAAGTAAATTTAGGATAAGATATGAAAGCTGAAATAACCAAAGTCAGACCCATGCACTAGAACATGGTCATGTTCCATGATGTGTGTTTTGATTTTACTATATCAACATTGCAATGGGGCATCAACTATGAGTCCGTATACCGTACAACTGGTGGCATTTTGGTAATTTAAGAGAAATTCGCGATTTCCGCTAAATAAGCATTACTGCACATTTAATGAGTATCAGATCTATTCTACTGAGTATTGAGAGTCTAATAATGAGCATCGAGATATTGATTTCCTATCTTATAATTCATTTTTTTCTTATTTTTTAAAATATCTACAATGAACTTGTATGAATCCAATATGTGAATTTGTTGTAATATTATACTTTTGAAATATGCATGAATATGACATTTTAAAATGAGTATTACGCCAATATCAAATGAGCATGCATAAATTACGAAATGAGAATTGAAAAAAGTCAAAAAGCTCATTTAAAATGTCTATTATGCTCAGAATTCATTTGTGTATGCTCATATCTGTAAAACTACTTATGACTTAAGTTTTTCCTAACCTGTGGCCAACAAGTGACCAAACTCACCATACCTGCGTAAGAAAAAGAGAAAAAGGAAAAGAGTGCAAAGAAGAGGGAGAAGAGGAAACAAGCGCTATACACCCGGCGGAGCCGTCGTCTCGGCTCAAGCCGGAGTTTGAGGTGCTGCATTCGTGCTGGAGGATTGCGAGTGGCGAGTCGTCATCTGTGTACGGCGGCGGGCGAAGGGCGAGCAGCGAGAACGAACTGCAAACTGCGATCTGCAAATTAAAAGCCCGACTATACCGTGCACAAGGTACAACCGGTTGTACGATATAATTTGCGTATCAACTATAGACAATTAAGCTGGGTATATGAAGGTATGGGAGGTAATTAAAAAATCATGTCATCTAAATATTAAAGAGTAGGTGCCATCACAAAAGTGAATAGCACATGTCCCATTAAGTACCAACTTTCAGTAAGGTCCAGGAGAGTTCTCTGCAATCATTCGGTTTTCAAATAATGTACATAACAGATATATCATAACAAGTTAAGCACTGGCTTTATATTGAGGGCATATTTCGAAATGAGTAGTTGAGTACAAGAAAGCAGCATGTTTTGGGCCAATGGAATGATTTTAGTGGTATCATATTCTAGGACGGTCATGTGATAGCTCTTTTTGAAGAACTAGTATCATAATGCATTATAAGAGCATCTCCAATGCCACAATGTGCATGGTGCACATGTGGCATAAGAGAGATAGACAAACAAATATTAGTAAGCAAATATCTTTCTCCTTATTTGAATAATCTTATATGTTTTTGGTAAGTTTTTTTCCACAATGTCAAGAAGAATGTCTAGATGTAGACATTGAGGTTGACATTATTACCAAAATTATGTAAAACCGTGAAAAGAAGGAAAGAGAAATGTCAATGATTTATTTTTATGTGTGTCTCTTTCATGCCACGTGTGCACCTTGCACATTGGAGATGCTCTAATAATAATGGTAGGGGCCGATCCTGTAATAATTAAGGATCAGAAGGATTCTTCAGAATGAGACAGGAAGTCATGCATGATCGAAACTATTTGAATTCATTGTCTTTATCATGATATTTTATCATGCAAGTGAAAACAAATCTGTGATGATGTTGATTTGGAATTTCATCTCATGGTTGCAACTTGCAACAGGATGACATCCAGCGCACAACTTTGCTACTGTGCTTTTATGCATGAATATAGAGTGTTCACAAAATACAAATTCAAGATTATTAATTGAGACTACAAATTTAATGCTTCTGGCCCTAACACAATAGGGATTTGAAGGGATAATGAGATTATGACACACTGCACACTAAAACCCACGACCTATTGTAAATCCATTAGAGAGACTATACTACTCATGACCTTAGAATTCACTTCCCAGAATGCAAGAGAAGCAAGTATCAATTATTGTTGCTTACAAAACATCTCCGGCAAAATAGATTGTCAAATGAATCCAGAGCTGCATCAAGATCACTGTCCAGATATGAAACCAGAGTTACTTCAGAGTTTTCATTTTTAGAAGTAGCTTCTTCCTTGATCAGATATTCATATCTTGCCTGTGTAAAATTTTGATGTGAATAATATCCGTAAAGTTAGCAAAAAACAAATTAAAAGCAGCTGACTAAAAAGTCACACTGAAAAGCTTCTATGAGTCAGGGGATACAAGCATGAGAACATTAGAGAATCAAGAAAACAGTTTATACCTTTACTTCACTGGGCTTTCTAGAAAAGTGGTTGGCAAGCAAATGCAACACCATATCTGACAATCCAGCCTCTTCAACAGTCATTCTAGAACAAAAAGTATAAGATCGAGATATTTAATAATGACAGTGTTTAATATATGATGCATGGTAATCCGTGTCAAATCCTGACACATTAAGTGTAACACCATATCAGACAATCCAACCTTTTCAGTATAGCATGCTAAGGTTTTTGTTTATGTATAGAGGCAATTTTTATTGTCAAGTGGGGAAAGCTTCATACAACATATTTTGTTTAAAGAAAGTACCAAAAGAAGTCATTCCTAAAGGCACAAACAGAAACCATATCAATTGGGCATAATTAGACAAACCGCAGAATATAGTCTTCAGAGTCCACAAATTCCTTTTCTTCTTCCTTTTCAATTCTTTCTTCCTCACTATCGCTGCAAATTAGAGCTTCACCATCAATCTGGTCATAATAGATTCTTCTGCGGCCTAACACCGATTGATCCTCAGTCATCCTCTGGTTTCTGAAAATTTTCCTCTATAATCAGATTTCATGCCAAACCCCAAATCACATGCAATGATAAGCATAGTAACAAATACAAATCAAGTTGAAAAAGGATAAGTACACTAATTCAAGTCAACAAATTATGTGATGAAAAGAGCATAACTATCCGTGGCTCCAGCTAAAAATGTGTTTTCAAAGGCGCTACACTGCTACCCACTCCATTCAATCTTTTACCCATATCATTTACCATAGAGTTACTGTAGTTATTAGTTACTCCCTCCGAACCCATTGGACTTCGCCAACTTTGTCTTTTTGGTTGTCCCAAAAAAACTTTGCAACTTTCTTATTAAAGCAACTAATTTGTGGTTCTGCTCGTTTCTCTCTCCTCTGTACAAACCTCAACCACACAATTTTTACTATTCTTATTTCTCACCTATTTTTAACTTGGCAAAGTCTACCGGGACGGAGGTAGTACTACATACTCTCCATATTCTTTTATTTTCTACACTTTCCATTTTGGGAAGTATTTTTTTGTTTGCTACACTTTCCCTGTTTGGATCCTTTAAAACCACTCAATTACCTTCACTTTTTCTACTTTTCATATTATCTTTCACACTTTTACTATTTACATCTTCTCTCCTGTTTTTTCTACACTATTCCACCCCCTACTATTTTTCCCTTAAATATTGTGCCAAACCCTATTGTAGCAAACAATATAATACAGAAGGAGTAGTATATATTACTAAAATAAAGAAAGTATAAACAGATAGTGATGATGACGATGATGATGGTGGTAGTAGTAGTAGTAGTAGTAGTAGTAGTAGTAGTAGTATGAGCAAGAGCAAGAGCAAGAGCAAGAGCAAGAGCAAGAGCAAGAGCAAGAGCAAGAGCAAGAGCAAGAGTAAGAGTAATAACAATAAGAGAAAATTCCCTAAACAAAGCATAATCTTCAAGTAGGAGTGTCATTATTTTATTCCCAAATCATGACTCATTCACTCCTACTTTGGTATACTTTTAATGTTTTATTATTTTAATATGACAATATAAGTCCTATTTTGGGAAGACAACATGCTTAGTCCCTTTTTAAAACTTTGTCCATGTCTAACTCCTATTTTGAGCAATTTCTTTAATAATAGTAATAATAATAAATAGATCTGAGAAGTTATTCAATTACAATCAAGTGTGACAAGTTGACAACTAACTAGTTTAGGGCTTTACAAGCAAATTCTAAATACACAAACAATATATTTGAGGTATAGACAAAAATCAAACCTTTTATTTTAATGCAAACATGTCTAAATAATAAATATTGAGCGAGTGTATGAGATGTTTTTACTTGGACTGTAATTTGTCCCAGACCAGACCACATCAGACCAGACTTGACTTGGATAGTTATAAAAATACAAAAAAGACCAGACATTATCAGATCAGACCAGTTCAGACCAGACCAACAAATTACAGTCCAAGTAAAAACATCCATACTACTGAATACATCTTAAGTTTTTGCTTCAAGTTATTTTGGCAAGGAGATAAGATAAGTCTCTTTCAGTTGAGCAAACTGCATTCAAGTAATAGGTGTTTGGAGGGAGACAAGAAGCACCAATAACACACCTACGTAGAAAAGTCCAGGTAGTGAAGTGAGGTAGTTTTTCCACTTTTGGAAGTACAATAGGACGAACATATTTCTTGTCAGCAATGCTGGACCCTAGAAGAACTACAGACGCATAACCATCATCCTCACAGCTAATATTGTCATTTCTGTCGCTAGTAGCAATACCATTTTGCATATCAATAGCATCTTTCTGCCTCTTTGATAGTATATCTACAATTCCATTACCAGAGAGAATCTGGGGATCTGTTCTTCTAGTTGCCAACTTGTAAATACCTCTAGTTACACCAGCCAACTCACTTGTTTTGTCCTCGATCTTTTTCTGAGGGAATAACAATTTATTCAATTTGTTGTTACAATTTTGTACTATCTGAATCAACAACCACAAGAACTAGGGAAATTGAAAATGCACCTTAATATAAGATTGACGCTCCAATGCAAACTTATCCTTGAAAGAATAAATTATAAATGATATTTCAGTGGGGGAAAGACATGTGTCTTGGGGTGTCACAATCTGCATAATGAAGCATTAACGTTTCCCAGAATGGCATCAAAGAACCAATTTAAGTACCATTGTTAACTCTACGTAACATTACAAACAATATATGTATCATTTAAGCGTAATGCACAATGTAGGCCTTATATCTCAAACAATATACTACCTCTGTCCCGGTGGACTTTGCCAAGTGCAAAGTAGATGAGAAATAAGAAAAGGTAAAAACTATGTGGTTGAAATTTGTGCAGAGGAGAGAGAAATGTGCAGAAGCACAAATTAGTTGCTTTAATAGGAAAGTGGCAAAGCTTTTTGGGACAACCAAAAAAGGAAAGTTGGCAAAGTCCAATGGGATGGAGGGAGTAAGTAACATTGTTGCCTTGTTGGAAATCGGAATGTATGTCTTATATACAGAAAATAGGTTATCAGAATAAACTGGAGCAGTGGAGCTACAAGTTTCAGTTCCTAATTCGCTACAACTGCCAAAGCATCAATAGTTTCACTTCCTGGAACTTTGGGGAAGTACAAAAATGATGCAACTTGTAATAGTTTAAATAATAGTGGATATAAAAGAACATTATTTCTTAATTCTTTTATAAAGGATAAAGGCAAATACTGTTTCTCAATCCCTACATTTTGCCCTAGTTACCACTTCAAAAATACATGTCAATAAGATTGTGAGTGGCTTAGAAGGTCCAGGAATCCATTCCTTTTCATTCTTGTAAAATCAACCTTACATGCAAAAACGTAAAGAGTGGAGTAGTGGACCAAACTCAACAACACATGTCAGTAGGGCCAATGGAAGTTCCAACTGGGGATCAAAAGAGGATACCTTCACCGCAGACATGCTGGTAATGAAGTGTGTGATGCAGTCACAAGTTCAAAATGACAGAATAAAGATCGATCAAAGTCCAAGATAAGGCCTAATAAAGAAGTTCTGAATAATTTTAAATAAGACGATCAGATCTGAATCTTTAAATTAGACTTTTGGTGTGCAGGAAAAGATAGTGAATACGGAGGAGGTTGATATGCACTTTCTGTTTCTTCTTTATGAGGGTATTGGCCAGTGGCCACAATATGCAAAAAAACTGAGATTATTAGACTATTAATTTACGCACACAAGCTGGAAAGGAAAAAAATGCTATTATTATGAGCACTTGGGATAACTTTATTTTTATACAGAGAACTTTGTACTGACCTTATGATGTTTCTTGTTTTTATAAGTTTCTTGTGTAAAAACAAAAGTTAATAAGTGATTTTTATACCATATTGGTGTTGGGATTTTTACAACTATGAAGTAAAAACAAAAGAAAACTATTAACTTTGTCCACTCAAAGTGAAGATAAAAAAAAGTGAAGATAAACAAAAGTTAATGGTTGCATTCATTTATAGAAAGAAATACTCTTTCTATAATAAAGAATAGAAGTTCAAAGTATGCAGGTCCTAATTAAGAAGCATATCGGGGAATTGTTAATATATTCCAAATTGTCGGAATGATCAAATTTATTGATTTGCCTAGCTTACCATCAATTCCATCTTAGACTGTAAAACTCCTTTCATTCCACACTGAACAGATAAATCCATAGTAGTAGTAAGCAGCAACATTCCGTACTGCTGTAAGTTATAATAAGCAGCACTAGACGGACATTCTCAGCTTCACTATCTGAGGTAAAGCATATCAGGATCAATTTGCTAAAATACTTCTTGTATGTCCTTAAATACCTTTTTATACTCAAAATTCAAGACATTTTAAGTAGTTTAAGTACACTGTTGTGTGTGGATTTATGTATGCATTGTGTATAATACCCTGTGGCATGCATTTCTTTCCTGAAGACATGACTGCCCTCATCAAACTACAGTCCTTCGGGGTAGAAAATTAATAGTGACTACCATTTGAGAGAAAAATTGTAGGATATCATTCCAATAACAAAATGCCACTTGGGATAGTAAAAGATATATATGTCCATTTAATTACTTTAAAAAAATCTTGGATCTATAGCATCACATTACTCCTCTAGCATTTTGAGTTAGAGATACAATTAAAGCATGTTACATGTCACTAGACAAATCAATAATGTACTTACCAGAAAGCTTACTGCTTGTGAGCACAAAGAATCCATTTTTAAGTTTTAACCATATGCAATCACTCTCCAAGTATGATGAGGTTCAACTAATTTACCTGGAAATGTTGAATTAGTTGGATGGTATTTAGTGCTACCTCTATCACCCAAAAAAGTCATGTTTCGCCAATGTAACACCTTTTAATTTTGGTAATGTACGAACTTTATAAATCATCAACCCACTTATACTTTTCAGTTTATTTTTTATTTAACTAGGATAGTATAAGTAATTAGTTCAATACTATTTTCCAAGAAGTAGATTTATTTGTTGAAATAACAATGTAGAAAAAAGTCAAGGTAGTTTCTGAAATGGGACTCTACTTTGGACAGAGATTACTATATCATGAACATTTATTTGGTACATCAACAATTGGAAAATAAAAAATTCATAGCCATTACAAGAAACAAGAAAGATTACTGATAGTGTGATGTCCATCTTTTGGAGCACACCAAGTAAGATGAACTAGCTTATTTAATGATTTGCAGAACACTGTGCAGACTCAAGTCTACTTTCTACATTCATGAAAGCCAAACAGTACATACCTAAATAGATGCAAAGTGTTGCTTGTTGCAATTGGTAACGCTTTTTAAATGCTTTTAAGTGAGATGACCACCATTGTTGGATAAACGTGTTTTTAAGAACTTCTAACATGAAATTGTTCAATATTACAGGTTTCTCAATTGTCATATCAGTAAATTTCGATATGCTTTTCTCATAGGATTATTCAACATGATTATGCGTGAAACAGGAATGAATATCAAAATTCTTTAAAATCACAGCAAAATGCAGTTGAAAACCATAACTATATAGGCGTAACTAAAGCCGTTACTACGAGACATATTCGGGTGTCTGCGATTTGGAACCTTAATAGGAAGTCTGAGCCGACTTCTCCGGTGTCAAATACTGTGTTGCTCCGTAAACACTGTTCCCGCAATGAAGCGTGAAATGTTGATGGATTCATATTGAACAAAGCCTGTTTAGTGCTGCTGGCCGGGACGGAGTATGATTCTGTATTGCTGTGATGGGCGATGGAGGTTATAGGAGAAGAAGATGCGGAAATTTCCCCAAACAGATTTAGCAAGTTAGTTTACAGCAGAAAGTAGCAGAAATAGCATGTGGAGACCAGTTGCAACCGCACGGATACTACTTCACTAGATACTCAGACTACTACTGTATTCTAAATTTCTAAATTTTTTGTAATTATTTAAAGGCTAAATGGTCAAATAGACCCTTTAACTAAATAAAATGTTCAATTAGCTCCTGATATAGGAGGTTCAGTCCGATCATCGCCAATTGGGGAGGTTCCCGCTGGATTTTTTTGATGAAATTTTTTGAGCATCTTTTTCATTAAGTCTAGTTTACTCACATCAAATTTCAGCAAAACATTAAATCGGGAAGGCAGTCAAATAATTTTCCGAAATGTGCCGCGCTATTTAACTGCGCAATTATCTTCAAAAAATCATTTGACTGCCTTCCCGGTTGAATTTTTAGCTGAACTTTGGTATGGGTAAACTAGACTTAATGAAGAAGATGCTAACAAAAATTTCATCAAAACATTCCCCCGGGAACCACCCCAATTGGCGACGCCCGGGAAGAACCTCCTATATAAGGGGCTAATTGAACACTTTAAGTTAGTTCAAGGACTTCTTTGACCCTTTAGCCTTATTTAAAATTTCGTCTATATCTTGATGGAGACAAATCTTCATGTCAGGCCGGCCTGACGGGATGCTCCGTCTGGCCGAGGGCATTTCGGACACTTTCCGGTGGAATTTTTTGATGAAATGTTTTGAGCATGTTCTTCATGAAGTCTAGTTTATCCATACCAAATTTCAGCTAAAAATTCAATCGGGAAGACACTCAAATAGTTTCATGAAGTTAACTGGACAGTTCATACATATAAACTATCCAGTTAACTTCAAGAAATTATTTGAGTGTTTTCCCGATTGAATTTTTAGCTGAAATTTGGTATGGATAAACTAGACTTCATGAAGAACATGTTCAAAAAAATTCATTAAAAAATTCCACCGGAAAATGCTCGAAATGCCCTTGGCCGGACGGAGAATCCCGTCAGGTCAGCTTGACATGAAGACTACTCCTTGATGGATAAACATATCAACTTTTTTATAAAAAACACTCAAAATTTACAAAAAAAAATTCTTAAAAAATGAAAAATGAAAAATGAAATTACATTATCCAAGATGGTCCATTGTAAAATTTGTATTGGAACTTTCATTTTTTATATTAGTGTATTGGTTTCTGTCTTCTTTATCCAAGAACTTTGAATATTTGCACTTTTAAATTCAAAATTATGATTGTTTGACTTGTTTCTCATTTTAAATTAATGACTTATTGATTATGTTTGTATTTCAAAATGCACTAGTGTATATGAGATAAAATACAAATTTATTTCTAACTATTTTGATAATGTGACATGCTTGAATGTCATGAATGAGCAGTGGTCAGAGGAAAATATATGTATATATTTTCAAAAAAATATTGTAATTTTTATTATTTATTAAATACACCCCCCATAATTTTTAATATTTATAGATACTCCCCATAACATTTAATATTTATAAATATTCTCCCATATTCATATCTTATTTTTGGGTTTTATTGTATCCATGTACTCATTTCTTCGCTTCCACGTACCGGTATCGATGCTGGAACTTTTGATGAAAAGAATAAAGTTGAAATTTTGCCCCATATTATTGTGTTACCTGACAAAAGCAGAAGATACCCCATGCATGATGAAAAAAATCTCTGTTTTTTGAACTCGTACGTACAATGTTTTATGTGTATTCTAATTTTTACAAAAAAATATATGAAAATTCACAATTTTTATCCTTTCATATGACAAATACTTTATATGTAACTTTTTAAAGATAAATGATCGAACACTCAACTCTTCGAGGTTTTTAAGCTAAAAGTTTTTCTTAGGTAGATCCGAATACTTAAAATAAGATCTCATGGTTACAATTTGGTTTACAACTTTCGTTTTTAGAAGTAGATTTGAAATACCAATGAAAAATCAAACTCCAAATTTATATATTTTTATATCGTAATGTTTGACTTTTTAAATCTCAATAATTTGTAAAAATAACATTTATTGACAACTCATAGGATTTAATTAAAAAAAACTTTGTTTGATGAATATATTGATGGTGCTGAATTGTAGGAGAAAATGGATTGACAGAGTGAATACACAATTTTGGACAATCTGGTTGAAAATTTGATTTATTGATGGAATAAGGTTGCAAATAGTCTAACAGAACAAATAGAATGATAAGCATGTGTTCGCCTAAATCAAGTTTGGTTTAAATTGAACTGGCCTGACATGATTTATTTAAATTGGCTTTGATCTAACTAGAGACCAAAACCAGTTCAATTAATAATATCATACGAGAACGACCATCTAGGGGCCTCCTTAAAGGATAATATATTAGTAGCACATACAATAACAAAAAAAAACTCAATTAAATATAGCACTCCATATAAAATAATGACTAAATTGTGTACTACTATCATGTCTTCTACTTTGACTACATTTTATTAATTAATTAATGTGAATTATTTTTTTTTGAAAAATATGGTTGAATCCGTCTCATTATTAAGTTTTATAATCTGATTTTAATTATTTTTTCCTAATACATAATTAAATATAATGACGATCAAAGTTGTGCGTTAGCCATCGTGAAAAAAGGAATGTTTCAACTAAAAAAGAACGGAAGAAGTATAAGATAATTTGCTTTTTCCATTCACTTTATTAATTAATTATAGGGCTTCAGCTATTGCAATTGAGACGTTTTTCCTACACTAATCAATTAACTACAAGCTAGTAACAACTAGTCAATCAACTCTTGTGTTGCTCGACAGAATTTACTCTAAAATTTTACTTTGATGAGTAATGAATGTTTTTAGTGAAAAATCAAGTTGAAGATATAAAAATGTTTAAGAAAGATATACGTAGTAGTTAATAACTAATGAATGGTAAATTGAAACTACATTTCAAATTTAGACCGTAAAAAATGAATGAAAATAGAAGTTCAATAAATCAAAGATCAAACAATAGAAACACAATAGTTACATATTTCACTAATTAAAAAAATGATGTCACATAAATGGGTGTTGTCATGTTGGTCTTGGCATAATAGAGATATCCGTTCTTGAAATAACATTACACCTTAATCGACACTTCTACCCTTCTCATTTTAAACGTCTTTGTGTATAGTAATTAAAAATTAAAAATTTAGCAATAAAATAATATGAATTTTTTATGATATGGAAATAAAATCAAACTTTCCAGATTTTGAGAAACTTATGCATACACCATTTTAATTTCGAAGTTTATATTTTGTGCCTCATGTTCACAAGATAGAATTATTATACCTTGAATGATATCAGTTTTGAACTTCAAAGTTTCAAAAGGGAAGTTTTGAAGTTTGCATTTTGCACCACATGTTCACAAAATAGAGAAACACAACATTTGATTTATGTACAATTTGCATACTTAATCATGAATAAGTATTAATACATAAATAAAGATAATAAATACTCCGTATGATAATTGTAGGAGATATAATGAACATCATCTCTTACTAACAATGTTGGACTATAGTCCCTTTTTACTACTCCGTATGTTGGATTAAAAAATAACTTAATAACGTATAATAACGATCGGATTAGGCATGGCAATGGGTCGGAGCGGGACGGGTACTGCAAGACCCAGACCCGCCCCGTGACTTGGCGGGGCGGGTCCGCCCCGCCCTGTGGCCTGCACGGGTCCAAACTTGTTGACTCACGACCCGCCCTATTCGGAGCGCGTCCGCCCCGTCCCGCCGTAACCTAATTAGCTAGTATGTATTTTTATTTTGGGGAAGTTGTTACCACTTGAATCTACATAAAGTTTATCTCTAAATAATAATTAGAAATTAATATATTAAATCAAATTCATGATACCCTAAAAATTTCAAAAATTAAGGAAAAATTACTCAGACTTGAATAGTTAATCTATTTAATTATACTAATAATTGAACATATGCATTAAAATGCTATATATAAAGAAGACATTGATAATTCGTCGTTCATCTCATTCTAATATATGTATTAATATATTATAATATCAAGGAATTTATGATTTACTGTATACACACATATGTATGGTGAAGTATATTTGTAGTATAATTTAAGAAAAAATATGCATGCTTATGTATTGAGCGGGTCGGGGCGGCACGGGTCAATACTAATTACCCGGACCCGCCCCATTGTATAGGCGGGGCGGGGCAGACGCGGCCCATTTGGAAGACGGGGCGGGCCGGACCCACCCCAAATGTGTCGGGCCAGGGCGGGTCACTGCAGGTCGTTTTTTTACATCCCTAGATCAGATGAGGCCGAGTTAACGTTATCAATTTTATCAAATAACACTCAAATTTGACATATCGTTTCATCAAGATGATGGATAATGTATGAGAAAGTTGTGCGGCTGCTACATTTATTATTGTTTGTGTTGAGGTTTATACTGGAAAAATGTCAGAATTAGAAAAACTTCAATTTTGAGATGCTTGAAAAGACGTCAGAAAATCTAGTCTTTGAGAATGCCAACTTTAGTCATTGTGCATAATAATGCAATAATGCATTCATTATTATAAAGCGTCGGAAATTTTATTATTGTTGATCTCATATGCACTAGGAGTGGACTGGGTATGTCCTGGTGTGGAACCGGGTCCGACACTGTTTGGGACGAGCCCGAGCTGGGAAAATTTGATTTGGGCCCGAGTTAAGAAAATTCGGTTTGGGCCGAGTCGGGAAAATTCGGTTTGGGCCTGAGCCGTGAAAATTCGGTTTGGGCCCGAGACCGACCTGAGTCCGCCCCCAGGTCCCGGTTCACCTATTTGAGGATCGAACCATGCAATTCAGGTCTCGGACCGTCAATTTATTTTTGGCTTGTACACGGGGAAAACGAAAAAATAAAATGGGGTCGAAACTTGGACCGGGCCGCCCGGATACCCAAGGCCCAAAATGTGAATTTAATCGGGTCGGATTTGGACTTCGCCTACCAATGATTGGGAGCGGTCAATTCGGATTTGGGATCGAAACTAGAATTGGGACCGGCCGATCCGGGACCGGAAC